CTTTTCTGCCTCTGCACTGATGAGAGGGGAGTTCCCCAACCTGTAGGTATGGTCCCGGTTGTTCCTCTTCAGGTGCAGCACCTTGCACTTGTCGGTGTTGAATCCCATCCTACCCTCGTCTGCCACCCCTGTAGCCTGTCTAGGTCCGATTGTTGTTACAAGCTCTTATCTATCCCCTCTGTGAATGTTCCTGGCCCTGAAAGGCAAGAGCACACGGGACCAGTTGAGGGCTGGCTGTAAAGCGGTTTGATACAGAATTAGCCCCAGTAGCAAGGATGTGATGGATGGGTTGTTATCGCTTCTGAAGTATTGGCCTGAGCCGGCTAAACAAACAGCTCCGGCTCTTAATAGATGGGGGCATGTGACAGTGTCCTCTTTGACACCGATGGAAGCCAACGAGGGTATGTGGTTTCCATGGGGAGCTCACCAAAACAAACCCTTCTCAGATATGTTTTATTGCACTTAATAATGGAGAGCTGCTGCCTGAAGCAAGGCCAAAGCAAGAGGACCCTTCCCAGAAAACAGCTGCGGGAATGGCTAAGTTGCTGCAGGGCCACTCCATCCCCACCTCCCGTAGGCCGGCAGGAGGAGCCCTGCGGCCCTGCGGGGATGATCCCCCATCGCAAATCCTACCCATGAAGAACTTCACCCGCTCTCTGGAGATGCTGACGGTCACCCACGAGGATGGACCCCTTTTGTGAAAGTTACTGATGTAAAAAGATGCGTTATGAAGCCACTTCCCATTTGGAGCAACCACTGCTAAATTTGAATGCAAAGATCTCAGCGCCGTATTTTAACACCGCTGGGATCAAGTGCTGACCTAACTATCTAGCCCACGAGAACAGGCAGGGGAAAGACAGGATATAACCAATCAAGACATCACAGGCTCATCCAAGGGTGATTGAATTGTAGGTCAAGAGGCCAGGCCCATAAATAGATGGAAGGTAAACTGAGGGCCGGCATTTTTTAATAGAGCAGAAATAGTAGCTGGGGATATTGGAGACAGATGACCCCATCCTCTGGAATTGTTTTCTGTCTTGGATCTTTCCCAGGGAGCCTGAGGCTGAACTAGTGGGGAATTTTTTGTTGTTGCTGTTTAATTTCCTGATTTAGTGTGTCCACCTATTTCTGGAACATCCTTATCCTGACTCCATGCGCCTCAGCCTTTTGCTCCTCGCCTCTAACCCTTTCTGGAGGCCCACCTCACTTGCACTCAGTGATATCCCTGTGACTTGGAGACTTAAAATGCTCCAGGCTTCATCAGTAACCAAAAGTCCCCCATCGTGGTCCCCTCGTCCTCTTCTTTATCAGCTTTTCTCTTCCACATAGGTGCAGAGTGGAATGGAGAATGGGGCAGAGAGAAGGGCTGAACCTATGGACCAAGCAAACACTGCCATTTCCTCCAGCCAGGCATTAAGGGAGACATACAACTAAGGCTGTCCAGAAGACGTGCTCTTCTTTGGAAGCTTCCTCAGCTGCGCTGGCGTCTCAGTTAGGAGCGAGGAAGGGCTCTTCCCCCAACATGTTTTGTCTGGGTTATGGGTATGGTGCTCACTTACCCACGGGCTGGCTAGCACCCAGCTCTGCTGCTCTGTTCCCAGGTGATTGGTGACTTCTCTGCAGGCCACAAAGAAACAATGTGCCGGTCCCTAACGCTTGGAACGGAAAGTACACTGTGTTCCCTACTCTGTCCCTGACTCTCTCCCTTCGCCGAATTTAGAGATCTAGTCAAAGAGACAACAGCTGCAATGCCTCAGAGTCATGCATGCGACTGTGCAGAGCGTGACGTCTTGTGAGGCAGGTTTCCCATGGGTCTTGGTAGGCTCAGACATGGGCTGGGGTTACAGTGGTGGCACATCCTGTCTCTAAGTGAAGTGGTGCCCTGGGTGCACTTCCCATTGACGTATAATGAGTCAGGACCAGAAGCGGAAAGGTCTTCAACTCGGTTTTCTTGGGCAGGGACCAGGACTTCCCTACCATGATGCAAGACGGACTCGAGGGGAACGCCTCCAGACCTCAGGTTGGGGAGGACCGGGTTAGAGAGCTTCTGGAGGGGCTGGACATGTTCAAGTCAGCGGGCCCAGATGCTCTCCACCCCGGGGTATTGAGGGAGCTAGCTGGGGTTATTGCGGGGCCCTTGGCATGGCTTTACGAGCACTTGTGGTGCTCGGGCCAGGTGCCGGATGATTGGAAGATAGCCAACGTGGGCCCCATCTTTAAAAAAGGGAGGAGGGAGGACCCGGGCAACTATAGGCCCGCCAGTCTTACCTCAGTCCTAGGGAAACTCTTTGAGAAGATCATCGTGGAGCACATCTGAGATGGGCCGGCCTCAGGGATGATGCTCAAGGGCAACCAGCACGGTTTCATTAGGGGCAGGTCATGTCAGACCAACCTGATTGCCTTCTATGATCAGGTCACAAAAGCATTGGATGCAGGTGTCACAGTGGACGTAGTCTTTCTGCACTTCAGCAAGGCCTTTGACACCGTCTCCCACCCCATCCTTATTAAAAAAACTAGGCGACTGTGGCATTGATGCCTCCACAGTCAGATGGATTGCAGATTGGCTGAAGGGTCGTACTCAGAGAGTGGTGGTGGATGGGTCATATTCAACCTGGGGGGAAGTGGGCAGCGGAGTCTCCAAGGAGGGCTCGGTCCTTGGACCCGCACTGTTCAATCTCTTTATCAGTGATTTGGATGACGGGGTGAAAAGAAACCTGTTTAAATTCACTGCTGATACCAAAATTTGGGGTGAGGTGAGCTCGCTAGTAGGGAGGCAAAGACTGCAGTAAGACCTGGATAGGTTGCAGGGGTGGGCTAACAAAACCAGGATATGCTTCAATACTGACAAGTGCAGGGTGCTGCACGTGGGCAGTAGCAACCAGCAGCACACTTATAAGGTGGGAAAGTCCCTTCTTGAGAGCACAGAGGCAGAAAGGGATCTTGGAGTCATTATTGACTCCAAGATGAACATGGGCCGACAATGCGAGGTCACGGTTGGCAGGGCTAACCGGACCTTGTCGTGCATCCACAGGTGCATCTCAAGTACGGCCAAGGAGGTGATCCTCCCCCTCTACGCAACACTGGTCAGGCCACAGCTGGAGTACTGCGTCCAGTTCTGTGCGCCCCATTTCAGGAGGGATGTGGACAACATTGAAAGGGTCCAGAGGAGGGCCACCCGCATGATCCGGGGACTACAGGGCAGACCCTACATTGAAAGGCTGTGGGACCTAAACCTGTTCAGCCTTCACAAGAGAAGGCTGAGGGGGGACCTGGTGACCGTCTATAAACTCACTAGGGGGGACCAGAAGGGTTTGGGGGAGACGCTGTTTCCCCTAGCGCCCGCTGGCATAACAAGGAGTAATGGGCACAAGTTGATGGAGAGGAGGTATAGATTGGACATCCGCAAAAACTACTTCACAGTTAGGGCGGCTAGGAGCTGGAACCAACTTCCAAGGGAAGTGGTGCTGGCTCCTACCCTGGGGGTCTTTAAGACGAGGCTTGATGCCTACCTAGCTGGGATCATTTGAGCCCAGTTTTTCCCCTGCCCAGGCAGGGGGTTGGAGTTGAAGATCTACAAGGTCCCTTCTGACCCTACTTCTGTGATCCTAT